GCCCCGTCTCGATATTAAGTTTGTGGGAGCTTGTCCTCAGCCATGTGGTACATCGGGTTTTCTTGTGATTGGGTAGAGATAGGTATGGTTCTAATCCAAAGCTGCTTTTGATTTTCGGAACCAGGTCAGCTCTAAGTTTCTTTGCTCTACGAAAGCATGGCGAACAATCTGTGGTGATTTTTTTCTGTCAAGGAGGACGAGCCTGTTGTGGAAGTCAAGAAAGAGCTTACTCAGCTGTATTCCAAGGGGATATCTTCCTGTGTCTCCCTATATCAGGATATTTGAAGTTCTCTTGTTGACCACATTAATATGGATCACATCACAAATGATACGTTACTGATTGGGCCATGTGATGTAATACCTGTGGGAGCCCGGAATAAGAGGTTCTTACACTTCTTAGTTGTCGCGGTCACCGGGTCCGTTCATGCAGCCCGAGGAGTTCCCCGGGTCCCGTTCATGCAGCCCGAGGAGTTCCCCGGGGTCTGTTCATGCAGCCTGAGGAGTTCTCCGGGGTACGGTCCGTTCATGCAGCCTGAGGAGTTCTCCGGGGTACGGTCCGTTCATGCAGCCTGAGGAGTTCTCCGGGGTACAGTCCGTTCATGCAGCCTGAGGAGTTCTCCGGGGTACGGTCCGTTCATGCAGCCTGAGGAGTTCTCCGGGGTACAGTCCGTTCATGCAGCCTGAGGAGTTCTCCGGGGTACGGTCTGTTCATGCAGCCCGAGGAGTTCTCCGGGGTACGGTCCGTTCATGCAGCCTGAGGAGTTCTCCGGGGTACGGTCCGTTCATGCAGCCCGAGGAGTTCTCCGGGATAGGGTCCGTTCATGCAGCCTGAGGAGTTCTCCGGGGTACGGTCCGTTCATGCAGCCTGAGGAGTTCTCCGGGGTACGGTCCGTTCATGCAGCCTGAGGAGTTCTCCGGGGTACAGTCCGTTCATGCAGCCTGAGGAGTTCTCCGGGGTACGGTCCGTTCATGCAGCCTGAGGAGTTCTCCGGGGTACAGTCCGTTCATGCAGCCTGAGGAGTTCTCCGGGGTACGGTCCGTTCATGCAGCCTGAGGAGTTCTCCGGGGTACGGTCCGTTCATGCAGCCTGAGGAGTTCTCCGGGGTACGGTCCGATCATGCAGCCCGAGGAGTTCTCCGGGGTACGGTCCGTTCATGCAGCCCGAGGAGTTCTCCGGGGTACGGTCCGTTCATGCAGCCTGAGGAGTTCTCCGGGGTACGGTCCGTTCATGCAGCCTGAGGAGTTCTCCGGGGTACAGTCCGTTCATGCAGCCTGAGGAGTTCTCCGGGGTACGGTCCGTTCATGCAGCCCGAGGAGTTCTCCGGGGTACGGTCCGTTCATGCAGCCTGAGGAGTTCTCCGGGGTACGGTCCGTTCATGCAGCCTGAGGAGTTCTCCGGGGTACAGTCCGTTCATGCAGCCTGAGGAGTTCTCCGGGGTACGGTCCGTTCATGCAGCCTGAGGAGTTCTCCGGGGTATGGTCCGTTCATGCAGCCCGAGGAGTTCTCCGGGGTACGGTCCGTTCATGCAGCCTGAGGAGTTCTTCGGGGTACGGTCCGTTCATGCAGCCTGAGGAGTTCTCCGGGGTACGGTCCGTTCATGCAGCTTGAGGAGTTCTCCGGGGTACAGTCCGTTCATGCAGCCTGAGGAGTTCTCCGGGATCCGTTCATGCAGCCTGAGGAGTTCTCCGGGGTACGGTCCGTTCATGCAGCCTGAGGAGTTCTCCGGGGTACAGTCCGTTCATGCAGCCTGAGGAGTTCTCCGGGATCCGTTCATGCAGCCTGAGGAGTTCTCCGGGGTACGGTCCGTTCATGCAGCCTGAGGAGTTTTCCGGGGTACGGTCCGTTCATGCAGCCTGAGGAGTTCTCCGGGATCCGTTCATGCAGCCTGAGGAGTTCTCCGGGGTACGGTCCGTTCATGCAGCCTGAGGAGTTCTCCGGGGTACGGTCCGTTCATGCAGCCTGAGGAGTTCTCCGGGGTACGGTCCGTTCATGCAGCCCGAGGAGTTCTCCGGGGTACGATCCGTTCATGCTGCCCGAGGAGTTCTCCGGGGTACGGTCCGTTCATGCGGCCTGAGGAGTTCCCCGGGGTACGGTCCGTTCATGCAGCCCGAGGAGTTCTCCGGGGTACGGTCCGTTCATGCAGCCTGAGGAGTTCCTGGGAGGGAGTTCCGGGAGAGTCCCCGCCCGGGGTCTGTTCATGCAGGGACCAGGGAGGGCAAGTTCACACATAGGTGATTGACGGCCAGGTGTAAATATGTGTATGTATATTTACCACTAAAAGTCACATCATTAAGCGGAGCAAAATGTCAGAAACCAAATTCACACAGCCGAACCCCTGAAGGCCTGAAGTATAGAAAACGGAGTTCCCTGGGTATTTAGTGTATGCTAGTCAAGCTCTAGTCACGTAGCACGAACGGCAGGGCGTACCGAATAGTAGAAATGAAACGAGTAACTAAAAAGGATCTAATTAAATATAAAGGAAAAGTAATACAAAGTGAACGTCAACAGATAAAAACTTCCAAGTGTTCGCTCCAAACAATTGACGTGACTAATAGATCACACGACGTGTCTAATCACAAATGGTAGTGCTCAGTAAGACTGGCTACCGTCAATTCGAATCCCTTAAAATGATTAAGGGGCAACTAAGAAGTGAGCTCTCCACATCCGGCTCTCCGGGTATGCTCCCAAAACTTACGTCACGCCACAACGCGCGTCGGCCTAACGCAGCCAGCCTGCACCAGCGTCTAGACACTGTCTAGACGCTGAGCACTCCACTGACAGTCATCCTGTGGTCGCGAGAACCAACCACAGGCCTAGCTGTAAGTCAGGTGCACAAGCGCGGCCAACTACAAACTGGCAGTAAGTCTGACAGCAAGTTTGCCAGTCAACCAAATACAGTTAACCCGTGTAAAACGAAATGCAAACCAAAACTTTCTAAATACTAAACCAACTGTTAAACAGTTTAAACTATTACACGAAATGTCGCACTACCCGGAAATGTGTAACGGTCCCTTTATTACCAAACATTTTACAAATAAAGTGCTCCTAAAACTTTAAACGCAACCCTCCTAATATTACATATTCCGCCGTAAACAAAGTTAATTTATCCGAGAACCTAACAATACTACTTTACAACATCTCTACCCAAAATTTTTTTCCGAATATTTAAAACCCTTTAAAAATTCGCCAACAGTCTTACGCTGCACAACCTATTTAAATTTAACCCTACTCCCTAGCACGGCCCTGCGCGCCTTAAAATAAAAAGCCGAAAGAACCTTAAAACTAAACGCCTAACCCTGTTCCAAATCCAATATCATAATTTACAATACTCACCTATTCCCCGTCTTTCTCCCTTCCATTTAGATCTTTTTCCTTTAGATCCTCATTTCCATTCCATACGAATGAGTACAAGTAAAACACTTTAAATAAAAATAAATAAAAATAACGAAATGAATAAAATCAATATTTAAAAACAATGAGAAGACAACCAGAGACACAATCGTCCTTCAGTCCGAGCTACTGGGGGCTGCTGTAAGGCTCTGTGCTGGGGGAGGTGGGGCTGTGGAAGTATGGCGGGGGCGCCGGCTGAGTATCCATCCTGGTCGCCTGCTGGTCCGCTAAATATTCCAGCTCCACGGTCAGGTCTCTAATCCGTCTCTCCGCTCTCCTGAGGCGCTTCCTTAGATCATCTAGCTCCTTCAAATCGTCCGTGTAGTCACTACTTATTGCACTCACGGCTCTCATAAGGTCTCTTGAAGAAGACATGCTTGTAACTAGAAAAGTGATAGAAGGTTAGACAAGCGGATAAGGGAGGTAATAGAAGGTGAAAGGGGAATACAAAATCAAAACATAAATCTAAAAATATTATTCAAGTAACAAATTTGAAGTTAAACAATGAAACTCGTGAATCACAATAAATAAATACAATAAAATATCAAAACAGAAAGAAGGAATCCTCAGAAAGTCCTCTCCATGTTTCTGAGGTTCACCAGGCTGTCCAGTGCCCGTTGAAGTCGCGTGTTGGACGAATTCTCGCGAATCTCGCCCATCCTGCGGATTGCCGTGTTGAATCTAACCGCGACTGCTCGCCTGTTGGCGATCTTCGCCCACTGGTACTCTCGAGAGTTCTGAAAAACTGCCCTTCTTCTCCCACAGATGGTCGTGCTGCTGGACATCAACTTGTCACGTATCACCCTCATCTGTTTCAGTACCTCCTGTGCATCCTTATTCTTCAAAAAGTTCCCTACAGTCTCATCCACCAACTGCTTTACCCACTCATTGAGACTAGGGTATTGGAGGAGTAGGTTGATGGCTCCCTTCGTGGCAGGGAAGGTGGCTGTGTCCAAATGCTCCCAGTTCGGCATCTTGAGGGGGGTTTTGCCGCTTGATCGAATCTCCTTGCGTCGCTGAAGCTTCTCGATCCTCCTTGTGATGCGATCCAGTTTCCGCCTGAGTCTCGCCTTCTCCTCCTCTATCTTCTCCATCCTTATCTTCTGATCGTCCGTGAAATCCAAACCTTCAAACTCGGGGCTGCTCATGGTCTGGAGGGGGAAACTAGGATTAGTGGCTAAAAAAAAAAAAAAGACTAAAATAAAGCTAAGAAAACCTTTTACCCAAAAGTAGAAAACCAAACTGCTTACTAGTAAAATGTAAAAGGATCAACGTGAAAGGAGTTGAAATAACTAAAACTAAAAGAAATTATCGAAATATCAAAATGGCAGCCCTGAACGGTTCGTGTTGCGAGGCACAATCCTAATATCCCTATCAGTACTGTTCTGAAAGATACACGTGTTAAGCCTAAGTAAGGTACTAATATCACCGGTAAGTACTAAATGGAAAGCCTAGCTAAATACGTAAGATATCACTGTACTAAAACTAGATTCCAAGGTATTAGTTACTTCCCTATCAGGTCATCTCCCCGACTTCTACTGGTTCAAGAGCTTCATAAGAACATCCGTAACAAGTCTAACTTTATCGATTCCTAGACGATCAGGTTCTCTCCGTTCCTCAGGTCTCCTAGTGTTATATCTGCGCTCCTCCCTCGGAGGGCTCTGTCTCCCTAGATCTATAGGAGAAAGCGATCCTGTTGTGTCAATGTCGTGCTCCTCAGCATCATGTGACCTAAAACTGTTAGCACCTATCGTTCCTTCACTAACAATCGGACTCGATGATCTTCTAGCGGCCGATCTCTCTCTAGCTGGAGTAAAGAACTCTGCAGAATTATCAACTGTTTCTACACTATCGCCTGAGGGAATGTTATGTGTGAGAGGTGTTACAGTACTAAAACTAGGATTAGTAGAATTCATATCTAGTTGTACAGGACTATTTACAACCCTAGGAGTGGAACTTAAACTAGGTTGTTTATAAATGCTAGCTGCACCATCCCTCTCCGGACGAAACCTCTTCGGATGAACCTCTCTTCTCCTTGCTACAACTGGTGCTCTTCTCAGTTGAAAATCTATCTCCTCTTCACTGTCACATTCCACACTTGCATTCTACCGTCCTACTGCACTCAGTCCTAGTTAGGTGTCAGCACTACACTACATATACCGGCCTACCATCCCACATCCTCACTTCCACACTTGCATTCTACCGTCCTACTGCACTCAGTCCTAGTTAGGTGTCAGCACTACACTACATATACCGGCCTACCATCCCACACATCCTCGGCTTTGATCAAATAATTTGAGGCACAGTGTATAACACTATAACTATAGTTGGCATTTCTGTTGGACAAAAACGTTTTGGCAATATATTGGCAGTTGGGATAGTGCTAAGCACTCTAAACTATAAAGGTGCATGGGAATGTTGGATTATGGTATGGTTGTCATATTGTTGGTGTGGCGTCCGCAATATTATCAGTCGCCTTTGAAAATCTACTACAGATTTTCTTTCTGTATATCACTATACAGTTCCTCTTTAGAAAAAGTGCATGTGACAAGTAACGAGACAAGGATGCTCTAGGATCAGGAGCGACAAATGATCAATTGTTCTAGACGTGAGGCTTTCTGCAGTAACGGCCCTAGCGAACAGGGGGATGGTTGTTCGCTTGAGTACTATGATGCGGTTATACAAGTCTGGCAAAACAATTTGTGACCTGCCTATTGGCCGGGCGCCGCCGTAGACTCAACACATGGTGTGTGGGGTATTTACCTCGGGCACACACCTTAATCTCTCGACCGGCGGGTCACACCCAAATCTCCTGCTCCAACTCTTTCAAAGGCTGGTACCCTACTACTACGTGGCCAGAAGGAAATTCTTGTAGGAACTCTTAATGTACGAACAATAAGAGAACAATACAAGAGGGATGAGCTGGGTGTATGCATGAGGGATAGTGGCGTACATATTTTGGGCATTCAGGAGCATCGGGTAGTACATAGCACTGAAATCGAGTATCAAGATCTTGGAAGCTCTCACCTCATAACAACTTCGGCATGGAGAACCAGCAATGGGGCGGCTGCTGGTGGGGTTGGTATTGTCTTGGACAAAAAGACAGTATTCAACTCATTGATTAGTGTATACTCACATGACAGGAGGACGATGGTAGCCAACTTTGCAGGGAACCCGGTCACAACTGTTATTGTGAGTTATAGCCCGACAGAGGGGGCGACTGTCGACGAAGCAGAAAACTACTACGACAGCCTTGGTGGTGCCATCGACCAGATACCAGCCCACAACTTACTATTCGTTGTAGGAGACCTCAATGCGCATGTCTCATCATCAGGAAACTGGACATCCTTCCACAAGGGTCCAGCAAACCGAAATGGTAGACTGCTAGAGGATATGCTGTTGGAGCGACAGCTAGAAATCACAAACACCAGATTTCAGAAGCGAAGAGGTAAACTCTGGACATATCTCTCAGATATGAGTCAAAGTAAATCTCAAATCGACTTCATCATTTGCCGGAAGAAATGGCGGAACTCCGTCAAGAACTCCGAAGCATATGGTAGTTTCCACAGTATTGGCTCGGATCACAGAGTAGTCGTAGCAAGGGTAAAGCTTAGTCTACGGATAAGCAAGACGGAGAAGAGGGCTCCGGTTCTGGACTGGTCTAAACTTAAAACTGATATCGCTCTACAAGAGAGGTACACAGTGGAAGTTAAAAACCGCTTTTCCATACTTGAAAAGGATGATCAGACGGCAACAGAAAGGTACCAATGCTTTATTGATGCGAATAGGACAACTTCTCGACTTTTACTACCTGAAAAGGAGAAAAAGAAAAGATGTAAAATCTCAGCGACTCCAAGTGTTGAGATTGCCAGGCTGAAGCTGAGGGAATGTAGCATAAAATACCACTCAGATGCTACAGAAGACAACCGAATAGCTGTTCAAGAGGGCAAACAGAAGCTAGGCGATGCTTATCAAGCAGCCAAAGAGCACCTGCTGGAGGGGCAGGTCCGGGAACTGGAGGAAGCAAGTTGGCAGGGCAGACATGCTAAAAGCTGGACCATGATCAACAAGATCACAGGTAAAGCTCCATCATATACTGGCAAAATCAAGGGAAACTCACCAACGGAAAGGGTTCAGAAATGGAAGGACTATTTTGCTACTCTTCTCGGCTCACCACCGACGGTAGAGAACGCGGAAGAGGATATTGATCCAGTCCACCCACCTCTGAATATCGGAACAGAACCGTTTACGTTGGATGAGTACAGGAAAGCAAAGTCCAGCATAAAGGAAGGGAAAGCATGGGGTGACGACAACATAGCCCCAGAAGTCTTAAAACGATGCGACCTTGATCAAATTGTCTTAGACTTCTGTAACAATGCTCTATTGAAAGGTGAGAAACCAGACCAATGGTCAACTGCCAACATCATACCAATTCCAAAGAAGGGCGACCTTAGCGAACCAATGAACTATCGGGGAATAAGCTTGTCATCCCTAGTTGCCAAGTCTCTAAACAAGATGGTTCTAAACCGGTTGAAGCCAGAAATCGAGACAATTCTGCGTAGAAACCAGAATGGATTCAGACCAGGAAGGTCAACAACTCAACAGATATTGGTACTGAGACGTCTTATAGAGGGTGTCAAGAGTCGGAAACTGCCAGCTGTTCTGACATTTATAGACTTTAAGAAGGCTTTCGACAGTGTACATCGTGGGAAAATGCTAAAGATTCTAGAAGCTTACGGCATTCCAGTCAAAATCGTGCAGCTTATACGGCTCATGTACGAGAAGACAATGGCCAAAGTCCTAACTCCAGACGGAGAAACTGAATTGTTCGAGATACTTGCAGGTGTGTTACAGGGTGATACCTTAGCACCTTACCTCTTTGCAATAGTCATCGACTACTGTATGAGGCAAGCCATAGGCGATGATGCGGAGCGACTTGGACTCACCCTCGAACGTAGAAAAAGCAGAAGAGTGGGGCCCAAGATCATCACCGATGTGGACTTTGCAGATGATATAGCACTTATATCTGAGGACATGGACAAGGCTAACGAGTTCCTGCTCAGAGTAGAATCGGCGGCAGCAAGCGTGGGACTACACATAAACGAAGGCAAGACCAAGGTCATGACACTGAATATGGAGGATCGATCTAGCGACCTACAAAGTCGATCCGGGGAAGCCATAGAAAATGTAGATGATTTCATCTACTTAGGCTCCTGGATTGAGAGCACAGATAGGGAGATAAGGGTTAGAAAGGGAAAAGCGTGGGGTGCCCTACATAGACTGAAGGATATCTGGAAATCCAAACTCTCAAAGAGCCTAAAGATTAGATTGTTCATAGCGGCTTGTGAATCAGTACTGCTCTACGGATCAGAAACCTGGACACTGACAAAGGCTCAAGAGAAAAGTTTGGACGGGACATACACAAAGATGTTGCGTATGGTGCTGGGTATCTCATGGAAGGACAAGGTCAGCAATATAACTTTGTATGGTAGCCTCCCAAGGCTGTCAAACAAGTTACGAAGCAGGAGATTAAAAATGGCGGGACACTGCATCCGACATCCTGAGCTACTTGCCAGTGATTTAGTCTTATGGGAACCTACGCACGGTAGAGCACAGCAAGGCCGACCAAGACAAAGCTACTTGTCTATGTTACTGAAGGAAGTTGGGACAAACTCTAAAGAGGAACTGCGAACCCTGATGCGGGACAGGGATATATGGAGGGGGTTTTCTGGCGTAGATCGGACTTAGCTCCGACATAGTAGTAGTAGTAGTAGTATCGGAATAATCTACAAATCGGTCCGATGATTCCATTTTCAACTCAGCTTCCTTGCTCACAGTTTTCGGCACTGTAGGACTAGTCTCTAGTTTTTTAGAAAATCTGTTCCTGACATACCGTTTTAACTTACCAATGTTAAACACCTTCCTTTCTCCATCAGGCAAATCTAAACAGTACAAGTGATCGTTTATCTTCTTAGAGATCTTATACGGGCCAACCCAACGAGGACCGAACTTGTGCTTTGGACAATTTATCAAAACAAAAGCTTCCTCACCTTCCTCAAAGAATGGTCCCTTAACGTGCTTATCGTGATATCTCTGTGCATAGCAAAAATCACGCTCAGCCTGGACCCTCACCTTCCTGGTGATAAACTTGAGATTCTTGTACAGCTCGTACGCTTCAACATCAAACTCATTCTCCTTCATAGGCTCTAGCTCGAAATCCTTACGATTCTCAGCTAGCAGGCTTAAAGGTGTGTTTAACTCACGACCAAACACCAACCTGTTGCTAGAATAACCTGTGTGCCGATTTCGCAATGAGTTAAGTACAAAGACTACTCTAGATAACCAAAGATCCCAATCCTGGTATCGTCCCGGTGGTAAGCTGGTTCTCAGAGCAGTATTCAACCGACGGTTTGCTCTTTCAACTCTACCTGTACTACGAGAAACGTACGGTTGGCCATGAATATACTTGCAATCTAATGCTTGAGCTATGGTCTCGAAATACTTAGCTCTAAACCCCGGATGATTATCAGCCATCATGAACCTAGGCTGGCCAAAACGATCAATCCAAAACCTACGAATCAAGGACACGCTCTCCTTAGCTGTCTGGGTCTTAGTAGGAATAGCTACCACATAATTTGACCAACAATCAGTTATAGTCAAAATATACTTATAACCTCTAGGTGTAGCACCAACCTTCTCAGGAACTATATGATCGAAACAAATTGCTGAGTTAAATGAGTGGAACAATATGTGCTTGAGGGGTGCCTTATTGTACGCCTGAGGTGGCTTACTTGCTGCACACTTGCAACATGCTGCGATCCACAATTTGAAACATTCACCCATTTTCGGCCAGTAGAAATGTCGTTTACAGACCTCAAGACAATTTTCTACTCCAGCATGTGCAGTCTCCTGGTTATGCACCATGTCCAGGACAGATTCATGCAAGGATTCGGGGACTATGATCAACTCTCTACTTCCCTCCGGATCCCTCACTTCAGTCCAACGTCTCCTAAGTATCCCGTCCTTGATACTTATAAGATCAAACTGTTTCCAATAACTCAACAGTTCCTGAGGCAGTTTACTAGTCTGAATTGCAACAGGTTTCTCACCCTTGGTAACCCAACTGTAGACCTGGTTTAAAATATCATCATCCTTCTGAGCCTGTTTAATCTGCTCATTGGTAGGATTAAGAAATTTGACCCCTCTCTCTAGTGAGCTTACATCACTAGTAACCGCTGAAACCATCTCCACTACTGATGCTTCCTCTGTAGGAATAGGATCAGCCTGGGTCAGACTACAATTGCAATGACGGCTATCAACCTCAGGCGTAATCTGAACAATGCTTACAATACTAGGGTCTTCACTATTTTCATCAAACAAGAACCCCGGAATCATACTGTCCTCAACACTCACCTCATTGCAAGATTCCTCAATCAGATTACTGCAATCATCATCAACCACAGTCTCGCTGCTAACCGGTACTTGCATCCTCTTAAACAGTATCGGGTGTTTACATCTATAATGCTCACGTCTCACCCGGTTTACTCCTTCTAACGCAGCATCAAGACTAAAAGTGGAACTATGACCAATGCTCGCAACATTTTCTCGAGATTTACCATAAACCTGATACTTATACCGACTAAGTCCATCACACATCTGGTTACTCTTCCCCGAGATATGCTTCATGGTAAAAGTATAGTTAGCAAGCTCTTGAAGCTTCCTGATGACCGAAGATGACATTTTAGAAAATATTGTCGTAATGTTCAAGAGTGGCAGACAATCTGTGATAACCGTGAAGTTTTTAACGCCACGTAAGTAAACCGAGAAATGTTTCAGAGTCTGATATAAAGTCTCAAATTCAATCTGAGTTTGCGGCCATATCCGCTTGTGGTCCGGAACCTTACGAGAAAAGTACGCAATTACCCTCCTCTTACCTTTGATCCACTGAGTCAAAGTACCACCAAATGCGTGTTTAGAACCATCCAAAGTTACCTCATAACTATTTTCCGGATCACTAACCTCCGGAAATGCTAGGACAGGACTAGATATCAACATGTCACGTAACTTCTGAAATGCAATCTGGCAACCCTCGGTCCACTCGAATACCTTGTTCTTACGAAGTAACGCATAGAGCGGACGTGCTATCTCGGAATATCCCTTGCAGAACTTCTTGGAATAATTCAACATGCCTAAAACTGATTGCAATTCAGCTCTATTACTGGGAGGTTCTAGACTCTTAATATGCTCTATACGAGAGTCGTTCATCCTGACTCCTTCCTTAGTTAGAGTAATACCGACATATTCGACCTCCTCACGTAAAAATCTGCACTTACGAGGTGTTAGTTTCAGATTACCCAACCTTAGACGAGCAAAGAGTACTGACAGTATCTGAATGTGAGACTTAACATCACGTGTGAATATCAACAAATCATCTATGAAGAATGCTAACGCATCAGATATTCCCAGACCGTTTATCAGCCGCATGACCATTCTAGTAAACGTAGCTGAACTAGATTTCAGGCCCATGACCATTCTAGCAAACTGATACCTCTTCTGATTGTGCATGAACGCCGTGACATGCCTGGATTCCTTGGTATACGGAACCTGGTGAAAAGATTTACTCAAATCCACTGTCGAATACAGATTCTTATCGCCCACTTTGTCTAAAATGTGGTTCAAGTTAGGCAGCTCCATCAAATCATCCTGAAGCTCTAAATTTACCATTCTCAGATCCGCAACTAATCTAGAGCGATCTCCTGATGGCACCAGGAAAAGGGGAGAATTAAAATTAGAGTGGTCAGGGCATTCCTCAACTACACCAGATCTAAGCAAACCTCTAATCTGTCTATCCATTTCCGGCTGCTGCTTAAACGGAATCCTTCTCGATGGAACCCATCTAGGTTTATAGTTATCCTTGAGCTGGAGATGTGCCTCAAAGAAATTACAACAACCTAAATCATGCTCTCCACTCGAGAAAACGGTTCTATACTCCCACACAGTCTCTCGAAGATCATTCTTGTCTTCCTCGCTAATCTTCAACTCGTCTAACTTTAACTGCTTGAAAAGACTCTCTCTATCCCATTCCTTAACTAGCGGCTCCTCGTCAGCTAGCTTGCTCACCTCTGGCACTGAACAATCAGATGATATCGCATTAACCGTTTCACAGGTTACTCTCATCACTCGCTCACCAAACTCTACTGGCTTCATCTTGCCCAGCCAGGTTCTCTTACTTATCTTCACAGGCTTATCTGTAGGATTCATGACTCTAACAGGGACCATGTTGTCCTCAGACCGTATGAGAGAGTGCGCTGTGAATATGCCAGTGCCTACAACCGTGTTAATATGAGGTTCTAACTGTCCATAAACGTCATCACGTTGACTTCTAGGTCGCAGCAATTTGCCTTGTATATGAGTGCCCGAGAGAGGTGGTATAATTACTGTCTCGTTGCATACTACCTTCATGCAGCGCTTAGTGGGTTTTGGAGGTGTTCTAAAACACGATGAACCCTTGTTAGTATACAGTAATCTATCCCTGGCATTAATATTGATCCCCTGATCAAACATCAAATCCATGCCTATCAGAACCTCTGCCTCATGAAATTCAGAAACAACAAACGTGTGTTCAAAAGATTTTCCGGCAATAACCACTGGAAGCTTAATCTGACCGAAAGTTTTTATGTCATTACCCGAAAAAGACTTAAGCTTGAGATTACACGATACAACCTTTTCAAACCTATCTATAAATCTGACAAATGATTCAGCAACTATAGAAATGGATGATCCCGTATCCACGAAGAAATTTGCTGATCTACCCGCACAATTTCCTCCAACCAAAATGCAGTTTCCCTTACTGCCACCAATCTCGTTACAATCTTCATAGTAACGTGTGTTTTTGACCGCGGGTGACCTCCTTTTAAATCTAGGGCCACCCTTTAGAAGTTTAAAGGCCCCTGATTTCGAGGTCTATATGCTCTGTTCCCACGATGCTGGCCATGACCATTCTGATATGCAGACCCTCTGTCTTGATATCTAACTCTATTCCCAGCAAATCTGCTCGGACAGTTTCTCTGAAAATGCCCACTATCACCACACTCCCAACAACCTTCTAACTGGGGGCGGACATTACGTGATCCCCGATTACTCGAACTACCCACGTAATTGCGAGCTGGCTGATAACGTGATTGACCAGGCGGGTTTCTACGATCATCATTCCTCATACCACCCCTAAAACTATTGCTAACTAGATTAGGAGTCCATGAATGGCCAGTGTGCTGGTTAACTCCCGACTGGGAAGGAGGACATTCAGGACGATAAATCTCCTGCCTAGTGTCCGTCATAACACGGTCCCGATTTTGCCCAGGTGCTGTAACTCTAGTTCTCTGGCCATTTAATTCAGAATTATTTACAGCGAAAATCGTATCCGGGGCCTGAGTGAAACCCCCTGGTTCACCACCAACAGCTAACGCTATACGCTCAGTGTGGATTGCTAGTTTAACCGCCTCACTATAGGAATGTAACTGGGACTCATAAAGCTTAGTCCTTACAGCTATGTCACGAGCTCCTACAACCAGAACATGCATACAACTCTCGTCCCTTTTAGACTCGCAGTCATACCCATCTTTCAAAGCAAGCTCCTCTATACGTGCAATGAACTGCTGGAGGTTCTCACTAGGTAACTGACGCAACGACATGAGCTCAGTTCTAAAGGCCCAAGATTGAGTAGAAGGAAACATCTCCTCTGAGTATCGCTTAACGAGAAGATCGATATTGCATTTCTCTTCCGGCCTGAGAGAGACTTTCTGCAGTGTTTCCCAAGTGGATTCACAACGAATGTATGACAACATGTACGTACTAACATCCGAACCACCACTATGCCCACATAGAATCAAATGCTCCTTGAATCGCCTGGCAAATTTGATGAAATTAGATCCAGTTTCAAAATAAGGAGGCTTGGGAGGCCTGGCACCTGTCAAATGTGGACCAGCTACTGAACTATTCAATGGGGTTATAATACTGTTACCAAAATCATCCTCGGTGTTCGCGTTTCTAAACTGAACCTGCTCGGATTTAATAACAGGATTCATAACGTGCACGTTCTCTTGAAATCTACTGCTAGAACTAGCTGGAGGGGCGTTAGTAACTGTGCTAACTGGCTTAGGCCGTGCATTATCAATCTTATCCTGCAGGCATTCTAAAGCTGAATGTAATTCCTTCAACTTATCTTCTAATTCGGAAATGCTATTGCTATCTGCACCAGAATCTAAACCATCTATCTCCTTCATTATTTCATCAACGCTAGACTGAATCTTACCCCTTTCTAAAATCAACGTCGCCCACTCCATTTCAGCTGTATAACTATCACACATGCTAAAAAGTGAATCTAAATGTAAAAGTACACTTACAAATAGAGTAGATAAGTACTGGAACAGGCGTACTCTTCACGTTGCTGGAAAATCTTCTAGTCAAGACTTTACTTTGCTTTACTGGAACTGTAACTTCTACGTCTATCACTCCTGAGTAGATGTACGAAAAGTAAGGTTGCTAAAACTACGCAAATCTCACTGACAATCTAGGTAATAACGTACTGAAGTCTACAAGCGGCTGTAAACTAGGTGCTCGTTAAAACGATCGCACTCAACTGGAATATACAGGTACCACAAAATGTGTAGCAACACTTACCAAGTCTAGTAGGAAGTACTGAAGATCTCGAACAATCTCCACGTAATTCTTCTGCACTGCGATGTACACCGAACTTAGCTTAGCAAATGACAACGTTAGGATCTAATCGAAACTATACTGAATATAGGTGATAATAGAAGGATCACGAGCAAAAATAGCAACACTAAAAGTGGCCTCCAGATATAGAAAACGGAGTTCCCTGGGTATTTAGTGTATGCTAGTCAAGCTCTAGTCACGTAGCACGAACGGCAGGGCGTACCGAATAGTAGAAATGAAACGAGTAACTAAAAAGGATCTAATTAAATATAAAGGAAAAGTAATACAAAGTGAACGTCAACAGATAAAAACTTCCAAGTGTTCGCTCCAAACAATTGACGTGACTAATAGATCACACGACGTGTCTAATCACAAATGGTAGTGCTCAGTAAGACTGGCTACCGTCAATTCGAATCCCTTAAAATGATTAAGGGGCAACTAAGAAGTGAGCTCTCCACATCCGGCTCTCCGGGTATGCTCCCAAAACTTACGTCACGCCACAACGCGTGTCGGCCTAACGCAGCCAGCCTGCACCAGCGTCTAGACACTGTCTAGACGCTGAGCACTCCACTGACAGTCATCCTGTGGTCGCGAGAACCAACCACAGGCCTAGCTGTAAGTCAGGTGCACAAGCGCGGCCAACTACAAACTGGCAGTAAGTCTGACAGCAGGTTTGCCAGTCAACCAAATACAGTTAACCCGTGTAAAACGAAATGCAAACCAAAACTTTCTAAATACTAAACCAACTGTTAAACAGTTTAAACTATTACACGAAATGTCGCACTACCCGGAAATGTGTAACGGTCCCTTTATTACCAAACATTTTACAAATAAAGTGCTCCTAAAACTTTAAACGCAACCCTCCTAATATTACATATTCCGCCGTAAACAAAGTTAATTTATCCGAGAACCTAACAATACTACTTTACAACAGAAGGGTACCCTGACAAAGGACTTGGTGATCACAACTTGAACTACTGCAGAGACCCTGACGCAGAAGGTTTTCATACTTCATGGTGTTACACAATTGACGGTTATCGGTGGGAAAAGTGTTTTGATTGTTGAACTAATTGAATGGACATAATTACGAGGGACACATTTTTTCAAAAATAGTTACAGTTAACAGTAGTTACTTTTGTATCTTTTCGTGAAAAAATTCATCTATATCAAAATATTTTTGGCTATAATTGTAATTATAATTAGTACACAAAGAGTTTAATAAAATAAAGAATTAAATTCGGGTTTTATTTACATTTAAATAATATCATAAATAAATATAAAAACCCTCGTCGACGGGCAGCTTCAGTTCACATGCACCGTTGCGAAACCCAAAATACTGTGCACTCAATTTTCCAATTAACAAGTTCAGAACTTTAGTGACACTTTTTTTTTCTTTTTTTTTTGGGTTGGGGCACCCACTTTACCTTCCTTTCGGAAGGCTACGTCCGTCTGGTGACTAACGTCTATTGGGGTCCCTCCTGTTATAGATGGGTTTCGCTGTGTCAAGGCGAACATGGTGGATTTCATTTAGTTCTTATTCACCAGTTGTAGTGTAATGGTATGGATGATATTCCCTGAGTCGAGGCGATTTAAGGACCTTCATTTATATTCCTTATTTACCATAACTAAGTTTAACTTTTATCTTGGGTACGTTGGTGAACTCTGCTGAAAGATTACGGTATCAACATTACATGACATGCCACACGGATTCATCCATAGTTGTCAGGTCACCCGCAAGATAGTCAATGTGTCATCTAGGCATTATCTCTTGCCCGCATAGGAGCTCTTCCAATGGGGCGGCCCGTCAAGCTCTTTAAAATGCAACACGGCGTTCCAAGTGAACATTAGTGCACTCAACCAAACTTATTGAAATTGGTTATCACCTCACACATGTATAGCTTCTCGCTCACTATAGCCCCTACAAATGCACCCTATAAATGCACCCTATAGTTCTACCATTGTGTGACAGCTGGTAACGGCTGTTACTAAGTAACTATCAAAATCGAATCTTATCCTTATCTTCTAATCACAACTGAAGCGGCTCAACTACCTCACGGACATTGACAGCCCTGGTACAGTTGATCGAGCAGTCTCTTCGACGCGGAGAGCTGCAAGATATTACCACTATCAATTTATCACGTACCTTGTCAGTCGCTTCAAGTACATGAAATCATTGTCACATGATCATTCAAGCACGTGGGTCACATGATCACCCACGCGACTATATATATCTTTTGATGCAAAGAATATGGCAGAGTTCAGCACCACAATCCCGATGTGTATTGCCAGCTCTCATATGAGTGACTGTCTTAACCCTTAGTAGATAAATTAGTTAAGTTAGGAAAGTAAGTTATAAGTTAGGAAGTTCATTATAAGTTAGTTATTAGTTAGGAAAGATATTGATATATGCTATTCATTGTAGTCCACTCTCTCTGTAACTAAGAGTGTCTACCGTATTTATTCTATGTGTTACTTTAACCAACAATTTAAGTGTCTTTATTTTGTAACCCTTAGCATTAGGAATGGCCGTTTGGCTCATGGCTTAGAATCAAGTATAAGTTATTAAATGATGTCACAAATACTAATCTCAAGGTTACAGTCCTAAGTAAATCTTAATCACTAAAGTATCTAGACGTGAGCATTAATAATCGCACTACGTATGAGCATCGTATCAATTATCCTAGTACGGCTCCCTCCCTAGCGTATTGATGAGGTTAGCTCGAACCCGGAGTCATTTTATATCAACAGCAGTCTTTAACACCTCCGGTTGTAGGTGTCACAGGGTACGGGCACTTGGCATGGGCTAGTGCTCCTTACCCTCCGGAGGATAAAAAAGCCTGGTGAGCGACGCTTTCCCGAGGGAAAACTGTCATAATGCTCGGTCTCGGGAGAGCACCACCCATGCCTAGGTGATCTCCCGGGCGCTCTTTTAGAACAGGCTGCCCCCTGTCTTTCTAGTGAGCAGAGAGGAACCTACCGGGCATACCTGAGCATCTAGTATCTCTTGCCCAAATCTATGAGTTCTTTTATTTACGCGCGTCTTTGCGACGCGCACGGTATAATGTTGACAATACGAAGCTACCAGTACCAAGCGAATTTGTGTTTTGTGAAGACCCTTTTTTTTTATTTAATTTGAAATTTTGGGCCGCGTGTGACTTTTCTTTGTTTGTGTGTTTGTGTTGCTTCCGTTTACCGGAGTTTTTCTGGGTGCTAATTATCCACTAGCTGGAAAAGGAGTAAGTGCTAGATATCCACTAGCTGGAAAATAACTAATTGCTAGATATCCACTAGCTGGAGCGGCCCGGGGGCGGCGTGTGAGTGAGTGAGTGAGTGGGGTGGGAACGCCTGGAATTGAGACTGGAGAGACAATGTCCGTTATCTGAGTGAGCCACCACCGACAGTGCTCCCACTTCTGTGGGGCTGAGGGTGTTGGCTCCAAGAACCAGCCGTGAGCGAACAGCACCTGACCCCCCTCTATGGTTAACTTGAGAAAACAGGACTTTGCCTTTCTCCAGGCCAATCCGTTCAGTAACCATCTGACCCAGCACCACCTCTGATGGAAGATGTGGTTCGGATTGGACTTCGCTAGGATTTGTCAGTTTTTCTGTAGACACTAATGCTCTCTCGAGGAAAGACATGAGCCCCGGCGAAGCTGACCAAAAACGTGGCAGGGATTCTCACCCTACACTTTAGTGACACTGCTTTCTCATAACATGAAAAACAGATCATAACATTTACTGGCTTCAGACTTTTTCTTCACATCTGCAACCAGTGCAGCTTAATACCCACACTGCTAAGGTCCAGACTCCAGTGTTTGATTTACTTGAATACGGTTTAGGGTCAGCACAGATAAGATCTTTATAATAGCGTTGAGCAGGTTTAAAGTTACTGGGCGGCGCTCAGCCTCATGTCATTCCGCCGAATCTTTATTATGTTTAATGTTTATAAACATAATAGCCTGGGGTCCCCAGGTAAGTTTAAAGTTCTGATGTTCTTTACGGGTCTTAATGGTTTGCCAGGTCTCTGTAAAGGGATAAGAATACTTTCCCCAATGTCACTAAATGTATTGGTCGTAAAACATGACACTACAATTACACTACACTGCTTTACAATTTCCGAAAATGTTGCACAAACGTTGCTTCCAGCATACTGCAAGAGCTCGTTCAGGTCCACGAGCACAATCTTTAGGCGCTAATTGATGGCACTTTCTACCTCGGGTTGAGATATCGTAGTGTCCAGTGTGAACCGTGATTGTGTGAAGTGGCCTAGCCCTAGGGACACTAGCAAACAGTTTTAGTGGTGGTTCATCAATCATCGCCTGTGAAGTGATTCGTAAACCAATTTCTGACAGGCTAGTCCGAGTATGCTAAATCGGATGATTAGAGCTAAGAGTAAGCACATTTGATGATGTTAATATCTATGAAAAGTGACTTACTTGACTGACTTAAGGCGGGTAGTATTCCCGAGATCCATTGACAACAGTTCTCCACAGCTTTCTGTCCTCCATCAGTCTAGCTATCTCATCTACTGATTTCAGCCCATTATCTGCTTTTAGGTTATCTAGTAGTGTTAGGTAAGGTCGCCCCCTGTTAGTATGACCATGACTCGGCTTCCAGAGGATCAGTTTGTTCAGTGTCAGCTCCGGATGTCGGTGAGCATGACCTGCAAGTCTGAGCCTTCGTTGGGTTATCTTGGAGCTGACTTTAGGAAGATCACCGTACAGACTGTGGTTGCTGACATGGTCTCGATATTGATTGATGTTAAGGGCCATTCTTAACATTCGTGTATGGACACGTTCATTTGAGTTTGAGGATATTGGTAAATATAAGTGACCCTATTAAAAGGCACAGTGTAGTTGACTTTGTCACACTATGAAATTACACAAACCCTTGATGGTTAGGATAATCGTCTCATCCTCTAGGCTAACTTTGTCACATAACGATATCTTAATCAGGTGATAAGATATCGCTTAAATACGGCCGGCACAGAAATGGTTACATTGTCACACTATAAACATGTGACAGAGTAAATATGGACCCCTTAC